ATGACCATCTTCCCTCTGAGTGATAAGCCTGCCCTGTATAAACTTGAGAAGGATCTAGCAAATCAACCAGACCTCCGTAAAGAACTGGTGAGCTGCTTTCAATTTCTTTTTTTTAATTGATGTTTATGCCGAATTGATGATGGAAAATGGGACTCTTTTATTTTGAATTCCTAATTTTGTTGTTTTTTTCTTTTTGTACTTAGCTCATCACTCTTGGATTGGCAGGGGGGGCAACAGTTAAAGAAACTGTGTGGCGCATTTTAAAACAGGCCATCAAAAATGACCTTGCTAAGACGATCTCATGGCGTGGCCTGAATGGCAAGGTGCCTTTTGAAAAGCTCCACCTCAGGGCAGTTGTGACAGGTAAGGATTATCCTGCACCCATATTGACTATTTATTCTATTATTATTATTATTTGTCTTGATTAGAATTAAACAGAATTTAATCTCCCATGCCCTTTTGGTAATGCTCATGACCACTGTTTAATGATCACGATTGCAGTTTGTAAATTGGATGAGCTGTTTGCCATGTTATTTGTACCAGATTAAGTTTTTCTGCAGTACTGTTTTTCTTTCATTTGTTATGTAATTTTCAGATGCTGTCAGACGTAACCCAATCTGTCTGGAAGCAACTGATCTGACCATTGCTGATGCTATTAAAAGGTGGTTCTACTGGGCTGGGGATTGAGAGGGGGGGAGGAAAAATCGTCTGCCAGGCTCCAGCCGAGGGCAGCCAGCAGAATAGTTGTATCAATCCTTAATTTATTGTTTTAAGACATTAATTAAATAAATAAAGTATATATATATATTAAAAAATGTTTGTTTTGTTTTTTATACATACAGTTATAACACATAAATAGTACATGAGCCTCGGATACTAGGACATAGTTATCACACAAATTAATGAATGAATGAATAAATAAATAAGTAAATAGAATTAAAAATATATTGTGGCATCATTTTGGTTCAATTATGGCATCCTTTTGGATCAGTTTAGGCTAGTTTTTGGCAAGGTTATGGGTTTTTGGCTTCTCTCTAGGGTAGGTTTGGCAACACTTTGGAATTCCAAAATCCATTTTGGCTTACTTTTGGCTGAGATTTGTTCTTTATTTGGCATGCCAGAGTTGGCCCAAATTTGGGCCGTACATCATTCCAAAGCTTTTCCAAAATGGCAAGCCATATTTGGGCCAAATTTGGGCCATAAAAAATTGTTTTCTGGGGACAAGACCACCATAACGTTCCCAAGTGTTGCGGATGTAGAGGCCTTTCTCAATGATGGGGAGATGCTAGATGATGAGGGGCAGTTGTGTGGGGACATTGAGGTGCTGGGTGATGAGCGACCCAGCACCAGTAGAGCGTGCCAGGAGGAGCAGCCGGTGCTGGGTGAGGAGCGACCCAGCACCAGCAGACAAGGTGAGTCTGACGGTGAGGAGACCGATGAGGAGCGACCCGGTTCCGGTGGAGAGGCCCAGAAAAAAGGTGAAATAAAGAAAAGTCTGGGCCAAAGGCAAATGGAGGCCAAAGAAAAGCTGAAGCCCATTAGGGACTTGCTCTCTGACCCAGCTCAGTCGTTTAGGCACTTGTCAGACCTGCTCAAGCAATGCAACCTGACACATGACGAATACCTTGGCCATGTGTATAATTTAAGCGAAAGCTACACACTGGTGTACAAGCGTCATCCAAACGACTGTTGGGTCAATGCGTACAATCCACATCTGCTTA